CATTCCCGACATAAAAGAGTATCATGAGGAGGAGTTTGTGAGTTGGTAATGGAGGGCAAAAGGGGTTTATCTCTCTCTCCACCTACCAGCAGTACTAATTTCTAGATTTTTCTTTGTTCATGTATACATTCTCCTGTTTTCTTGCTCTCCTTTATTGCCCTCTGTGCGTTACTTCCTTACTTTATTATTTCTCCCTATTTTGTATTTCTTATTCTTGATTACGACTTTAGTATCTGGGAATTCACCTACGCCTTACTTCCTTGTTTTATCATCTACTTTGTTGTGTTTCTTTGTTAGTAGATTCTCTTGCTGTCTCTTCTTCCCTGTTTATTCTCCATGTCTTATTTTTTTGTTTTATTACCTCTTGTGTTTTTATTTATTTGTTTGTAGATTTTATGGATATTTCTTACAATTTCTGTACTCGTTAGTTCCTACTTTATTATTTTTTCACACATCTTCTGTAATCGTTGTTTTGTTGTTTTTCCTCCCTTTAACATTTCTCTCGTATTTATTTTGTTTATATTTTGTCTAGTCTTTTTTTTAAATTCCTTATTCTTCTCTTCTTCTTCTTCTTTCTTTCTTCTTCTTCTTCTTTCTTCTTCTTTCTTCTTCTCTTTCTTCTTCTTCTTCTTCTTCTTTCTTTCTTCTTTTCTTTTCTTCTTTCTTCTTCTTCTTCTTCTTCTTCTTCTTCTTCTTCTTTCTTTTCTTCTTCTTCTTCTTCTTCTTCTTCTTCTTTTCTCTTTCTTCTTCTTCTTTCTTCTTTCTTTCTCTTTCTCTTTTCTTCTTTCTTCTTCTTCTTTTCTCTTCTTCTTCTTTCTTCTTCTTCTTCTTTCTTCTTCTTTTCTTCTTCTCTTTTCTTTTCTTCTTCTTCTTCTTCTTTCTTTCTTCTTCTTCTTCTTCTTCTTCTTCTTCTTCTTCTTCTTCTTTCTTCTTCTTCTTTTCTTTCTTTCTTCTTCTTCTTCTTCTTTTCTTCTCTTTCTTCTTCTTTCTCTTTCTTCTTTCTTTTCTTCTTCTTCTTCTTCTTCTTCTTTTCTTTCTTCTTTCTTCTTCTTTCTTCTTCTTCTTCTTCTTCTTTCTTTTCTTCTTCTTCTTCTTCTTCTTCTTCTTCTTCTTCTTCTTCTTTCTTTCTTCTTTCTTCTTCTTCTTCTTCTTCTTC